CGACGAGGGTTCCATTCAAATGGAGTGATGTTAATTTCGAGAAAAGAATAAAATTTGAAAACGAAGTTTGTTGATATTATAAAATGATGCTGTAACAAATACAACAGTAAAACACAATAAAACAAGTTGTTATTAAATATTTTTAATAACAACATTATTTTGTAATATATATCAAATACTCATTTTAATATTTATATTATTTATTTCGAAACACTTACCTAGCATTATAAATTGAATAAAAATATTCATTTATAATATATATGGTATTAATGTAAACAATGAAACAATAATTTAAGTTGTTAATTATAATATATAAATCGATTGACACACAGTCATCGTGTTGTTTAAATACACGGATGAACGAAAAGCATTTTGAGTATTTTATAGACTGCCCATTTGTGAAATATATACCAACCGATATTGAAAAATGTAAAGACTTGGGAGGACATACCACTTGTCCAGCAAAATTACTTAACATGTCAAAGGGTGATGGGTGCGTTGAAATGATCGGACCGGATGGTGGGTATCTCATAACATGCATTGTATCTTTGGGAATTACTGCTGTTGGTTATACCTATTGCACTATCTACGCATTTGTGTTATTTTTAAAAAAGGGTCTTGACTGTAGTGAATTAAATCAAAGTGACTATGTGCCAGATCACTGTGAAGAAAATAACAATGAACCAGAAGTAAATATGCAAGTGGAAATGCAAAGACAAGAGTTACACGATAAAATGCAACAAAGCTCAGAAACCACTGAATCTTCAAGTGTATAACTCAAAAGAAAGTATAATCCATTTAAAATTAATATTTAAATACTTATATTAATGACAAGGTTCTTAACAATCAACAATTAAATTTTTACAATATTAATTAATAAGTTATAATAAAATATGTATATAATATTTTCTGGTTGACAAATAGAAATAACATGTGTATAAAATAGGAATTAATAAAATACATTGAAATTTTAGTAAAAGCCGTGAAACTATGTTTTCAAAGTGTTAAAACATTTTGAAATAAAAATCCAAAGTTTAATTAATTCCAGTTGAAATAATATAAAATTCTTTAACACCGTTAAAAAGCAGAAAATGTAATCGCGTTGTAAATTATTTAATTAAAATATCAGTTTAAAAAGAACAAATAAATAATTTTGAAATATGTTTGTCTTTCCTTAAGTTGTTAAATCATTTCAATAATAATGTTGAAAATGCTATTGTTGTCAATTTAAACAATTATAACAAACAATGAACATGAATTTGAAACAAGAGGAAATGAAATTTTGTATTCAATTATAACAATTGGGACTACATTGACAACCACCTCTTAAAATAAATTTGTTTTTTCTATTTGGAATCATATTCAAATTAAAATTATAGTAAATAGGAAACTGGGAAGATATTAGGTCTGGTTCCCTAATTCAAGAAACGCCGAAAATTCATTTCGAGTTAGTGAAACCGAGTGAGACGGAGCATTGAAAAGAAGGTTCATAAAGACGCAATCGAACAGTCTGTTTGTACCGTTTCACACATTTCCAAGTCCTCTTTTGGCGCGGATCCCCCCTGACCCCCCCCCCCGCAAACGAGGTGGAACCACATCCTCGTCCACACATTACTTACAATGAAAGTGGGTGGGACGCATTAGTGTTTGAAAAGTGGACTTTTTATAAAAAAACACTTGCGGCGAATATTATATTTTGGTAAATGTGGTGGTGGTCAATGTAGGTACCTTATCTAAACTCAATTAATTTTTTTTTCATTATATTTTTAGTAAAATTATAAAATTCAATACATTTAAATAAACATTTCTCCAAAACTTAATTAAAGTAAAAGAGCCAAGACAAACGCCATGATCGCTGAAAGAGTCACAGCAGAGTCTTTGGCGGTGTGGTAAAAGCCATCTTTATCTGTGAAGCATTTGTCCATTTCTTTGTTGATGATATTTGATGGGGTTCCAGTACAGCTGTTGGATGCATCATAATCATTTTTAATGAACTTTCCATCTTTAATTTCCGTTTTTGTTGAAGTTGTTTCTGACGTTTTGATACAACCAGATTTTAGAAGTGTTTCTATTGGTCTTGCTTCACTTTCTTTGATTTTGCAGTCTTTAGCATCAATGTATGCATAATCAACAACTAAGTATTCTGGAAGGTTATCAACAAAGGACTGACCGTTCTTGAGATCAAAAGAACCCTCATCATGCCAATTACCACAAGTTGTTGATGTGTAACCTTTTGCTTTTTTGTCTTCTCTCACAAATTTAGTATAAGTGTTGCCTCCAGTATAATAACACTTATCAAGAAGATAAACATTCATGTATTCATTATCCGTGGTCATAAGATATTCTGCTTGAGCTACAAATACAACAAGAATTATGTAAATCATTTTATATGTAAATAAGTTTATGACTCGAGTTTAAATAGTAATGTACACTTAATAATAACATGTATATTATCATGAAAAATCGATTTTTCATTCAATGTGTTAGATTCTTAATTTATATTGTTTTGTTTAAAAAAAACAACACTTAAAATATTTATAACAATTATTTTTTTTTCTGAATAGTCAATTTCAATAGATTGTATACCTATAAAACTAATCATTTTATCAATATATTGTATTATATTATTAAAACATGTTTTTTTCTAAAATTAAAAATCAAACATCGAGTCATTTCAGTTGTAATCTTCATCTTTGTTTGAGTTGAATTGTTTTTAAAACATCAATAAAAATTATTATTATATTAAAATTATAATATAAAATGTTATTTTAAGATTATTATATTTGTTTAATTAACAATCTATTTTAACTCGCCAACAACCCAATACTGCTCTTTTTAACAGTTTTTTAAAATTTTGTCCCAAAACTGTTTAAATAATTTTGATATATTATTAGGTGATTTTCCTGAAAAAATAGATAAAAATAAATAATATAAAATTATCATAATGGAATTATTTTTATTTTTTATACCAAAAAATCGTTTTGTGCATTTATTTTTTTATATAAAAATTTAAAAGCAAAACAGAACAAAAATTACAACCTAAATAATAAAAAGTTGGTGGAAAAAGTCGGCTTTAGCAAATTATAGTGAAATATAATATTTATTGAGGTTCACGATTACACCGACACCAGTGCACATTAATTCAATAAACTATTTTTATATCAATAACATTTTTTTAAATCAAAATTGAATTTTTGTTTTCTAAATTATATAATTACAAAGTACATAACATCTGTTGAATAATTTATAGTTATATTTAATTATAATTAACAATAATAACTTTTTATTATATTATTTTTTTATTTATTATTAATAAATTAATAAACTTTTAATAGTTATTTATTGTTGTTCACCAAAATTAACTCGTTCTGGACAACACTTGGAATAATGTCCCAACTGGTTACAAATATAACACACTCTCTTCTTTTTTGGAAGTTTTTTTAGATCCTTCTGAATATGCAACTAGGTTGGCTGCGACTATTTGCTTCATTTTACTTACCTTTTTGGGATCCTTTATCCGTTCAATGGTTGTACTCTTAGTCATAGATACAGTTTCATCCCCAATTGTTATCATAGATATTTCTGTTCTAGAAAATGATATTCTTTTTACACCCTCTTCGATTTCTATTTTTTCTTCTTTTTTGTCTTCGAAAAAAACTTTCTCTCCTTCAAAAACTTTTATCACCAATGGAAGCAAACTGGGGTTCTCCTTTGCGTTGGGATAAAATTTCTCAAGAACCATTTGATAATCTGTATAGGAAATAGAACCATAATTCTCAGGATTGTATATTTTGCACTCATGAGTACATACTACTCGTACGGACTTGGTTCTGTTTAATTTGAACAAACAAAGTGGAATTTTTGTCAATGATACGATATAAAAATTCACAAGATGATGACACGGAACACCAGTTTTAATATAAGAACAACATGTACACCCATTTTGTCTGTTTTGTGTTCTTGTTGTTCCCATATTTTTGGTGTGTATTGATTGTTCGCCATTTTAAAACTATAAAGAAGATCAGAAACTGCTATTTTAGTAAGACTTAAAGCGACATTATCTTCACAGAAAAGATTGAGTGTGTTTTTTCTTCGCTGTTGAGTTCCGAAAGACTGGCTTTAAGTTCTAAGTCTTGAGCACATTCAATAATATATTTAACAAGTTCGACTAATTTAAGTTTCTCATGCAACGTTCTTCGCTTAAGCCACCCAAAAAATCCTTCAATTCCACTTGACGTTGTATATTTATTTGTTGAGCTTGGTAGCCACGTTTTTGCACATTTGAGAAGGTCAATTATCATTCTCGACTTGGTTAAAGTGACTCCTTTCTCTTTTGACTCGATAGCACATTGGTTGAGTGATTCGATTAATTGATCAACTGTATTAAGAATGCAATTTCCACCAAAAAAACATCTTCTTCATCTAAATATTTTTGAATTTGATCATTACCATCTTTAATTACTAATTTATTCAATTCATCTAATAACACTTCTTCTCTTTCACAACCTCCAAAAACGACTTTATTGTAAATTGTAATAATTGGGTGGCACTTGCCAAAAGCCGCAACAATATTACGTCTTATATGCACCGTACAATACACTATAAAAACTGTGGGATATACTTCTTTTATGGCTACAGTTTGACTTTGACACCTATCACAAATAATCACTCTTGGATTTACACTTCGTTTTAGGATAGTTAATACCATTTTGAACGATTCGGAAGTTCTGTTTGGTGTTATCGAAAAAAACACACAGTGACTATGACTACTTTTGTCTACAAGAATTCCTACATATAAAGGCATTCCAAATTCATTTGTCCCACAAGTGTCATCCAAAATTAGTTCTTCAATGTTGCATTTTTTACATAAAAGTTCGTTTATCGCTACACAACCAACAAACACTCCACCTTTTGACTTTATCATAACAGTGCTCCAGTTTTCCAAAGTTTTTAAATACTCAGCCAAATCAATACTTTGTACTCTACCAGTTTTCTCTGCGCATTTTCTTACAATAGATCCAATTTTTACACTTGAAAACGGAAGATTTAAATCCTTTTTAATATTTTCTGGAGATACCCCAAGTTTATGTTTTGCTATCATTTCAGCTCTTTCTTCATCTGTAAAAAAATGGATAAATTTTACAAGGAAGAATATCAAAGTTATGAGTGTGTAGGTGTTTAAGTGTAATTTGAACGACTCCGTTCTTTTGTTTGGACAGTACCAAAACAAGTTTACATGGACAATGAGTAAACGTACATTTAAAAAACTGGTTTGAACTATTTGAATGACTATTTGCAGTCAAAAAAGAGATATTTTACCTCCTTTGATATTCATGATAAAAGCACTTTTCATTGTTGATGCTTGAGACGAGAAAGAATAATTTTGAAAAGATTGACATGTATTATTGATTACATCATTCGGAGTTTCAAAATGGTAATCATCCACAATTTCTTCTTTATCATTTTCTCTTGAAATAATAATTGCTGTGCTAGACATCTTTGTTTGAAATTTAAAGTTTTTATAAAATAATTAATAGTATTACGATTAGTAAACAATAATAATCAGAAAGATCTACTATATATATTATATTAATAAAGGGTTTGTTAATTTTTTAATTCGATCTGGTTTTTAAGAAATAATTAGAATAAATAGTAATCATGTTTTAAAAATTGGTGAAATTAAAAAACAAAAAATCAATTTTGATTTTAAAAAAATGTTATTGATATAAAATAGTTAATTGAATTAATGTGCACTGGTGTCGGTGTAAAATCGTGAACCTTATTTATTGTTACAAGTTGAAAAAAACATTTTGTATCATTTCTAAAACATTAATTAAAAACAAAAAATAATTAAAAATATTTGTAAACTCGAACAATGGTTGATTTTTTTATACTTACGTTAATAAAATTGACATTTCGGATACCTAATATAGTTTTGTTGTTGTGGTTGTATTATCCCGTAAACAGTGAATTGCGACAACTTGATGTTTGTTTTTAAAATTGAAATGATGATTTAGTAAGTTTAAAAGAAAGCGAATTTAAAAGTTATCAAATTAATCATTTGATTTATTATTTAATAAGTACAACACAATTCAACAATAAAAAACTTAATTGTAGCATTTTGAAACATTTTATTTATAAAAACAAATTTTGACTTTTAAATATATAAAGAAGCCCACAAAACGCAGCAAATGTTTAAAATTATCACACATTCAATCTAGTCATGAGTTGAATCAATCTCAATGTGAAAATGTCAACTGAGATTGATTATGGTAGTAGCTTATAGTTTTTAAATATTCAATTTCTGTATTTAATTTCAAAAAGGTGTTTCAATATCTAAATTGAATTTGTGTCCTGCTCGACAGTTATATAAATTTCAAAAATATAATAATACAAACAATGACCAATAAAAATGGTTATTTATAATAAAATATAGTTAATCTTATCGAGATAGACTATTATATGCCAACTCTGAGAAAATTATTCATAAAATCTAAAGACAATGATAAAAGTACACATAACCAATGTGAAATTTGCCATTTCTTGTTTGACAAAACAAATAAATTATAATAATCGTAATAAGAAAAAAACACAATTAATTATTTTCACTGAATGACGCATTGATAATAGCGGTAATTATTAACAGTGAGTAACACGCTTCTGTGTTATAGTGAAAATGATGAGTCGAAATAGTTGTAAAATATCATAACAATAAAATGAATCCATTATACATCGCTTTTACAGACAGTGATGTTTCTGCAATTGATTATCAAGCAACCCGAATATAAAGAATAATAATAATAATAATTTAAAAATTTTAATTGACAACAAAAAGATAAATTACTCATAATGTAAAAAACAACAAAAATTAAAAATATACACCAAATAAATCAATAAAATAGCATTGATAAACAAAGAAGTTTGATTTTTTGTTGTTTGAAAAATTATAAACATAGTTATGGTTTACCTTATTCATTTTAAACACTCTTTTCAATAGATTATTAAAATGTGTAACTGTATACATCAACTTGTCAAAAGTCATAAACAAACAATTGGTTAAACAGTTTACATATTTGACAAAAAGTCAGACAACAATATAAAAACATGTGGATTATTTGTAGTGGAGGGAAATTGTTTTTAAAACAATATATATTTAACACTAAAAACTGTTTTAATGATTGCTTGTTATATTTTAATTCTTTTGATAAAAATTCTTTAAAAGATTAGTCACAATATGGTAAATACCAAAAGATGATAAAAATATATTATAGACAGAAAAAAAAACAGTCAAAAATCTTGCTACATCGTACTGTCTGAAAAAATACACAGTTATTAAAATGGGTTTTTTGAAAAGTTTATATTTTTTATTAAGACTATTGTGTGCACATAAATTTTGTGTGTTTTTTAATTATCACTGATGTGTTCATGTTACTTTTGCAATTTGTATTTCATTTCAACTCAAAACCAATAGTTTTTTGTTTAGTGTATAAAAAACATATTTATTTGTTTTGGAATAAATGTTATTGCATTTTACCATTATTTTTATTTTGCCATTTTTTACGTTTTTGTCATAAAATTTTATTTTTTTTTCATTTTTTTCGCAATTTATTTGTTTATTAGTTCAAAATTTGAACTCGTTATTCCATTTTCATTTTACTATAATTGAACTACACTGTATAATATAATTTTTTTCAAAAAAAACAAAAACACTGCTCTTTTTAACAGTATTGGTTTGTTGGGGATTAGGTACGTCAGCGAGTTAAACGACATATGTCAAAAAATATAAACATTAATATATAAACTATTGTTTTTTACATTTGAAACAAAAAAATAATATAAAACAGCAATCAAATTACAAATCATAACTATTTTAAATCGAATATATACGCTTGAATAAAATACCTTTTTTGTTGATTTTTGAACATATTTTTTAATTTTAAATAATTACATTATTATTTTCATATCACTTATACAAATTTAAAATGTTAAACATTTAATCCAATAATATTAGGATATTCATTGTCTGGAATAAATACATGTGTTTGTACTTGATTGTTATATAGTAGTTTTTTTAATACACCTTAAATAACAGTATATAATTTCACTTGTATTTTTCAGTAAAATTTAACATATTAATTAAATGTATGATCAATTAACACAATGATAATGTACATAATTTAAACAATACCTTTAAGAAGTAATCGATCTTGCCAAGAAAATGAGCAAAGCAATATTAATTTATTTTGGATTTAAAAAAACAAGAGTTTTGTACTGAATCGAAGCGAGAGTATAAGGAAAACAATATATCGTATTGAAAATTATAATTTTTGGTTTATTACAAAAATATGTCAAAAAGCATATAAACATTAGTCACTTAATACTTCATCAAATAAAAATGATAAGAACATTTTTGGTATATTATTAAATTTATTATGAATGAAAGTGTTATATTGAATCAAAATAATATCCTTTTTGATCAAAAAACTTTCGACCGAAACTATTAAGTTCTATATCATGGGTGGATATCAGATTATGACATATAGACGTGTTTATGCAACTGATGAGTATAATTTAAAATTTAAAAAATGCTCATTATTGTTAACAAATTCAAGTTTGTAAACAAACACCAAAAAAGAAAAATAGGAAAATACACACTTTATTTGTTGTATTGACCATTTTGCACTTAAAGTATATTTGTTGAAAATGCACCAAACATTATTAATTTGTTTAATATACAAATTTTATATTAAATTGTTGGAAACAACCATGATAATCAAAATGTGATATTATTGTTTTTAATATCAAGCTTAAAACGTGAGTTCATTTAGGCGAGGTAAAAGGTGTATATCAAAAACAATATTACAAAAACTATTATACTTTATATTTAGAAAAATGTTGACAAAATTAAGCAACGTTCATTGTATTGAAATATTTTATCATCGCGACTTACACCAAACACAATTTATATACAATAGAGAAGTATTTTGAAAGATGTTTCCCAATGTTTTTAATACAAATTTAGAAACGACTTCTAAAAATAATACAAAAAACTTATTTTTACAAACATTCGAGCAAAACAAAAAAAATATAAAAACTATTTTGAATATAACAAGAATGATACAAATGAACAGGAAAATGGATTTTATAGTGACAAAAAAATGGGTTTGAAAATGGAATTTGAAAAAAAAGACTGTTTAGAAAACTATTTTAAAAATGAGGAAGAAGTAAAAAAGAATGTAAGACATTTATAAGTTAATTAATGAGCATAAAAATGACAAAATCTAAGCAAAATGGACTCAACATAAACAACTGTTATAATAAACAAACAAAAAAATCAAATCATTTTGTCTTAAATATGTTTACAACATGTTCAAACTTCTCGCCAGCCTTTTCAATTTGATTTTTATTACCAGCAACACAACAAACCGCGTTTTGTATCCCTTCTGTTATCACGTGTATTTTCTCCTTTATTTTCTCAAGTGTAACACCAAACAATTGTTCTCGCAATTCATTAAAATTCTCAACAAAATTCCCAACTTCCTTTTCCATGCCATATTCAAAGAAAAATTGCGTACTTGTAAACGCATCGTACACTGCCAAAATGTTGACAACGAACTGTTCTATTTCCTCCTCACTCATTTTTAGGGTTTCACAAATTTGTGGAATTTTACGGAAAGTATCGAATGTTTTAGAAATGTGCGGGTCTTTGTATGAAGTGATACACACATTCCCATTCGCTTGATAACTCAACGACCCGTCATACGCTCTTCCTTCAACTCACATTTTGTTCCACACACAAAAAAATTCTTTTCGATGATTTCAAAAAGCGCTTTTAAATTTGCGTCGAACGGATGACCATTTTAAGGAAGTTGAAGGACATCCCAACGTAATTGGTGTTTGGGGGAAATACAAAAAACTCCTTCATCTGATTTTCCTCGTTAATTTTGATATTGGGACCGACCTCCGACTTATCCATAAACGTCTGAATCACACCAAATTTGTTCAAAACGTTGTTTTTTGCACTTTCATCACATGAATAAAACAACTTTGCACGATGAACTGAAAAATAACATTTTTTGTTATGTTGTATGCAGACTTTGTGTCACTAACACGTTTAAGTTGTTATCTAATTTTATATGTGAGACATCACTTATCTCATACAATAAAAAATAAAAATCGAAAATTTTGCATTCAGTTTTTAGTACTTCTTCTGGAGAGTATAAAATAGTTAAAAAGTTATTCGGGGTATAGTTCTCCAAGTAATTTTTTTGAACTTTGTCTATTCGTTTGTAAATTTAATTTGTCCCGTGTTTATTTCTTCTTTTTGGTTTCAAAATTAAATTTTGACACTTTGGGACGACATTGATATTATTCATGTTCAAACAACTCAACAATTAAACCATAAAACAATAACAAAGCAAGTAAATTAACTATTCTATCAATAGATACTCGATTTGCCTTTTCTTGTACCCGGCACATTTCTATCGCTTTAAACAGAGTTTCTGGAATATCATTTCTTTTTTCAAGTTGTTTTCCCTACATAACAAACTCGGCTATTTTCCATTAAAATTTAAATTTTATTTGAATAAGCAACACACCAGCCAAACACTTCATACAATGTTATTCCAAACGAATAAATGTTGGCAGTTTTGTGTATTTTTGTTGTTTTAAAATTTCAGGCGCCATGTACTTTGATGTTCCAATTCCTTTTGTGAATGTCATGTGATCATCAACATATAAACATTTCTACTACTTCCAAAATCAGTCAATTTTGCATTCACATTGCTGTTTAAATCAAGTGAAACAACCAAAATATTGTCTGGCTTGATGTCTCTGTGTAATATCCAATTTTCGTGTGAATATATTATTCCTTTTGAAGCATCTTTCATCATTTTGATTCGCATTTTCATGTCAACTTCATCAGATCTGTTGTGATTTATCAAGTCCTGACAACTTCCATAATGTGCAAACTCAGTGACCTACACACTTTGTTTGGAGTGAACACGGCGTCATATAAGTGAACAATGTACTCACTTCTAAATTTGTCGAACATTTCAACTTCTTTGGTAAATTCATCAACTGGATTTTCATTATTTGAGTTGTCAACTTGTTTCATCTTCTTGATTGCAACAACATTTCCTCTGTAAGTTACTTTGTAGACAATTCCAAACAAGCCTTCACCAAGTTTCTTTTCTGTTTTGATTTCGTCGTAATCAAGACGTGTTGATTGTTCCACCAGTGTTTTGATGTTCATTAAAGTCGTGTTTTGTTTACCACTGTGTAAATCAAGTGATACGATCATGATTTTGTCACTCAAATCCATTGTGCAATATGGTGTTATAAAGACTTCAAATTCTCATGCAAACCCACTTTTTAAAGTCACTATTTTTGGTTCTGTGCGAATTTTGTATTTGTCGCATTTGTCTTTTGTTGTGATTTGAATTTTCATGTTACCTTTAGACGAGTTGCCAACACACAACAATTCACGATTTTCACTTTCAATTTGGATTTTGTCACTTTCATTACCAAATGAAATTTCATTTTTTGATAGAATGTCGCTTTCAAGTTTAGTCATCATCATATTGGAGCGACTCATCTTGAAGACCCAAATGTTTTCGGTGTGTTCATTTGTATTCTTTTTTAACACAAATAAAACAATAATTGTTATTATTGAGATAAATATTACAACAAACACAACAACACATGCAACTGGAAGACCAACAACCATCCCATAATTCGTGTTTGCAAAACACTCAATTTTGTCGTCACTCAACTTGTAGCCATCTGCACACTCCAAACAAAGTGAATTTTGTGATGAAATGCAGTTTGGTATTTGTGAGAAGTGAACACACACGCAGTCTTTCAGAATGTTGTTATCACCACATTTTGAACACTCAAAAGTGGCATCACAATATGTGCAGTTTTCACCACATTTGTGACACAAATTATCTTTTAGTGCAAAACCATCTTCACATAGTGTGCAGCCACTCGTTGTTTTGTTCAAACAGTTGTTTAATTCTGTTTGTGGGTTGCACAGCTTAGTGTTGTTGTTCGGAGTTCTGTAATATCCATCACTACAAATAACACAATCCCCATCATTGGAACACGTTTTACAAGATGTGTCACATCTAACGCACTGCTTTCCATCACTTGATCGTATGTACCCATCTTTGCACACAACACACCCCTCGAATGTCGACATCATCACATCACACACACTTAATAACTCATTGTATTCAAAACACTTGCCATTCTTGGTGTACGAGTACGCATCACACTTTGTGCAATACGTCAAATTGGAGCAGTGTGTGCATGGGTACTCACATCTCACACAAAGTGAGTTCATTATGTAATACCCGTCTTTACATCGCATACATCCCTTTGAACTTCTCAACATGCAGTTGTCTGTTGTTGTTTCACTTTTTAATTGAAAATCGAGTGCTTTTGTTGTGTTGGTATCATTTTCAACACATGAATTGTCGATAAGAAGATATGATTTGTTACACTCCAAACACGACTATGACACAACACTCACATATTCACAGTCTGGGTATTTGTCTTGTTTTGGCAAACACCCAGTCGTGTCTTTGTAACGATCGTCATCACATTGCGTACAAACACCACCAACAAACTCTTTACAGTTGATTGAATCGGTTGAAACGCATTTCCCATCTACATTTATTTTGTTGTTACACAAAATGCAAATCTTTTTGTTTTGAATCACACACTCGTTGTCATTGGAAATACATCCACCACTTTCAATGTGATGGTTTTGTGGGCATGTTGTACACACATTTCCACTATTATTAACACAGTTTGTGTCGTGTGAACACAACATGTTTAATTTTAATACAAATTCACTTTTACATGATATATCGATTTTATCACCATCAATGACTTGGCAAATCTTTGCATTATCACAACTTATAGTTACCCCCATTGATATTAAGTGTCGTGTAAAACCCTTCATTTGCCAAATAACAAAACTCGTTTTGTGTATATCTGCACTTGTTGGCTTTGATGCCTTCTTGTATGTCATTGTTATAATAAACAAGAAGTCTTGTCATTGTGAGTGAGTTGGTATTTGCACATATTTTCAATTGAACAATCACCGTTTGTAGTGATGACGTTTTTGAAACAATTATCACACATTTTCACTGAAAAATCAAAGCAACTTTTATTTTCCTTTTCGATGCATTTTCCTTTGAATAAAACGTGATCTTCATCACATATAAAACATTAATAATTTACTTGGTGTAGACAGCCAAGATCATTTAAATCACTTTTTAATGTTTCTGAGTTAAAATGTGTTGTGTTTGAATATCCGAGAACACACATAAATTTATTATTATCAATAATATAAGGCGCATAACATTTTGTACACAATTGACTCCCGTTGTTGTATTCACACAGTTGGCAATTTGGAATTAAATCAAAACAACTCATACACCTATTTGAAGTGACTTTCACTTTGCCTTCTTTGCATGATATACAATTATCACCAATAGTAAAGGGTTTCTTGAGGATAAGGTGTATCCTCAGGATCAAAGCTATCCTTATTAAAAAATGTTTTCCTGAGGATACAAAAATCAAATCCATAAGGTTCAGTTCCCCATAAGGCCCACTCTTAAAGATCAAGTTATAATTTACACTTAATATTTTAAGTCAAAGTTCCAATTTTAAATAATGGTAATAATTTATCAGAAATGCCAAAAGATTTAAAAACAATCAAAAAATCGTAACAATAATCAGTGAACATAAACAATAATTATAACTCGCTTACTTGAGACGGAAATTAACAAAACGTGAATTAAACTTGGTCATATTATGATTATATACTTAGTGAAATTATTTCCGAATCCGTCTTTAATAACAAAACGATTGAAATTTACGTTTAAATTGATAATTGTTTTTTATCAAAATGAAAAGTGAAAAAGTCGAAAACACTGATTTCTAAAATGTGATTTTAAAATAACATAAATTTATTAATAATTTTGTAATTTATGCAATTATTCAAATTTATTGTAATAACAAAGTTAATCATATTGTGTGTATTTTAATATGATTGTTTTATTTTGATATTAACTTGTGTTTTAAACGAATTTACAGTTCTGAGGATGACAGAAATAGAAATTTTACACTTTTACATCTGTCTGAAATGTATATTGAGTAAGTTACTATTTTTGAATATGGGAACACGTCATTTCACTTTTTAGATGTTTAAGTCCGTGTTGATAATGTCTGTTTGTTACACGACTTACCATCCTCAGAGATATTTATAGCACTGCCACTATTGATTAAAAATTCTATAAATAAAATTATCAAAAACTGGTTGGCATTTTCATTATTTCAATATGCAAATAAAATTGAAACGCTATATTTTAATGTTAATTTTGTTTAATAAAATATGATAATTGATCGGTGAAATCAATAAAATGTGTCATTGTCGAATATAAATGAAATTATTTCTAATAAACAAAAAATAGTATTCATATTATTTATAGTTGTTTGTTAAAACTTGTATTTCAATGAAAAGAGACTTGCCAATACAAAAGATTTTTAAAAATCCATTTAAAGATGATTTTGATTTCGATTTAGTTGAATTTCCTTCTTTAGTTTCTCATAAAACAGAATCGAAAGTGAATGTACGTAACAATGAAAAAATCGAAAAAACATTATCCGAAAAACTCGTAAAATCTCCAATAAAACAACAAAAAATACAAAATTATTAATTAAAAGAAGTGAAAATGTGGAAAAAGATTTTATCGACAAAAAAACAAAGCAAACAAACATAAAGGAAAAAATTAAAGAATGTTCAAAAAACGAAAAAGATAAAAAAGGATCAAAAAAGAATAAATTTAAATTAGCAACGCAAACAATTCCTCAAATAGATTATGTGCTTAGACAAAAAAACAACTTGCTTATGATAAAATGCTTTTTGAAGACGAACATGTTATTGAACCAGATGATTTGTTTGTGTTGAGTAATTGTTTTTGCCTCCTTTGACTGTCATTTCAAAAGAAGAAAAATACAACAATTACACAAAACTAGAAAATTGCAATTTATTCTCAATTTCTGGTGAAACACTTGAAAATGAATGTGATAACATTCAAAATAATGAAATAATGGACGAAATTGCAGAAAATGATGAAAGTTACTATTTTTATATTGGAATGAGTAAATGCGAATTTGAAAAGTATTACAAACTGATAACATTTTCACAAGTTACTTTTGTGGGTTCTCCAAATGTTAAAAAGTGTTGTTATTTTTCAGTGGAAAAATCTGCAATTTTAGGAAAAAGAAATAAAAATGCGTCACTTTCATTCAAATCTTTGACATTTCTCGTTTTGGTTATACTGAGATTCGGATTAAACTATTTGTTGACTTTTGTGTTATTGCGTTTAGAAAGGTTTTGTCATTTTTCAAAACGAGGGGAAGTGTGTTTAGAAAAAATGAAAAGATTAGAAACAGAGGAAGAATACATTTTGAGAATGAAAAAGAATAGGTCAAATTATGTATCTAAACAATACCACGACTTTAAAAATCACTTTGGCGAGACAATTTATGAAAAAATGGTAGTTAAATTGGGAAATAGTCCAAATGTGTTGATTCCATTTGCACTTGGTAAAAAAGTTAAAGATTTGAAAATAATGCCAGAATTAATTAACAGTTACTGGGCAATCGATTCTAAAACAACAGCTTCAAATTGTATTTTAACAAAAAATGGAAAAGTGAGAGAAAAAAAAATTGTATTCCAAAAAAATAAATGGTTCGGGAATGAAATTTGAAATTAAAGTGAACGTACAAGGATTTGTTTTGGATTCAAATGTTTGTGAAGGTTCAATAAACGTTTCAAAATTGAACAGTTGTAACAGATCAATGGTTAAACCCGGTGAGTTTATTTTGGGAGATTTGGGATATTTGAGAAAAGATGAAGATTATATGGATGTTCCAATTAAAAACGCAAAAAGTGAAATATGCGAAGAAAAACGTGATTTTTATCACAAGTTTAATAAAGTCCATTCCAAGTCAAGGAATGTCGTGGAACACGTTTTTGCGTCTTTGACAAATCAATTTCGTATTTTTAGATCAGTTTTTGGATTCAACATAGAAGACTTTGGCTATCTCATCAGAATTACATTAACTTGTTAAAATTTTTTATTGCCAAGAAAACCAGTTATTGATTTTTCTAAAACAATTCCATCTTTTAAACATAACGATGAAGAATTGTATGTATTTATTGAGAAAGAAATTGACAACCTGAATGAAATATCAAAGTATGAGACGATTGCAATGATTCAATTTTGAAAAATTTTATAAAAAAGTCAAAAAATAGTTAAATTGAAAATTCTATTCCGAAATTTAAATTAAGTGAAATTGATAAAATTTCAAGTGAATTATTAAAAAGAAAAAAAGAAAAAGTTGAAAATTATTATTTCAATTTGTTCAGTGAAGAAAATATGCGACAAACGGTACAAAGAACAGATGAAAATTTGTTATTTTTTAAAAAAGAATTTTCTTCATTCAAATCGGCGACCCTGATTCAAACCCTATTGTATTAAAACAATTTAAAAGTGTTTTATTATTCTTAATTAATATCGCTTCTTTGTTGATTATTATATACCATAATTTAAAAACTTGATTTTTTTTAAAAGAAACACATGAAAATCAAAAATTTACAAAAATGTAAACTTATTTATATATTATTCATTTTGAGTGTATATTAGAAAGAAATAATGCAAAAAACGCTTTAAACTTTTTACAACCATGGAGAATACCAGGAAACAAAAATAATAGTAAAAATTAATTTAATTTACTACAAATTAATAGTAAATTTTAACCTAAAATTGTATGTTTGTTGAAAAAAGGTTCACTTTTCCTGTGAGGAAAACTTGTTGACTTTTCCTGTTATTATTTTTAAGTTTTTATTTTTTTCTTTTTATATTAAAAAATGTGTAGTATGTATAATAAATAAACTGCACACAATAAGTCTCTCTAAAAACAGGGTTTTGAAATAAGAAAACGTATCAAATAAAAATCTGATAAAAATTCATTCATTGAAAAACAAGGAATACGTCATACTTTGAAAATTTCAAAAGTAATTGTTTAAATTAGTTTGTATTGTAAATTTTTTGATGTTTTGTAACTAACGTGTAAAAAAGTTGATATTTTATTGAATTTTAATAAATGTAACAAACAATCAAATACTGTCATATTATTTGTGCAACCATACTGATGGTTATCGTTCTCACTTTATAACCTTTTGTTGAGAATCATATGTATACAAAATATGTTTTAAAAATATTATCTTAACTATCGTTTTATTCATTTTAATTTTAGGATGTTTTTTTATTTTTAATTTTTTTTTGTTTTTTTGTGAAAATTATTTTACACTTGCGAAGTATAAAACAGATTTAATTAAATCATTGTCTAAATTCGAAGAAAAACCCGCAAGGATTCAATTATACATTTCCAAATTGATTTGTTATTAGATTACATGGCTCGGAGCTGTCTCCTCCTTCAACCATCTCTTCGCCTTCGGGATTCTCTGTTCCCGATTCATCATGTGGAGAACAATCCAGTGAGTTTCCTGGCGCTAAGGAAGCTCTCCCATGCCTCAAGATAGTCATCAGATCCTTTATACTAAAAATTGTGACATCCCTAATTATCTTAGGTAAGTCCAATCTGATCTTCAACAGCTTCTCTATTCTTTCCACAGAGAGCTTGTTTATCAGTCCGCTGATCGTTATGACCACAGGAACTGTGGTCACATTTCGCAGATTCCTTGCACTTCGAAGCTTCTCACAACGTGTGTTGTATTTTGACACTTTTCGGAAGTAAGCAGTGGCGATGTTTTTATCTTTTACAATTGTGACATCAACAACATAACCCTTTTTGGCTTCGTCGTCTTGCCAATAAATGTCGGGCCTTCGAGCAAAGTTTTGCCTATCATCACAAAGCTGATTTCTTTCGGCAATGACCACATTCTTCTCCACTTCGTCGTACATGTCTTTGGGAGGCACCGTCATTGAAGTGTTC